TCAGTGCCATGCACATGGTTCCCTCTAGCCTTCATTTACAATCAAGCTCCTCCCCCAATGCCCCCCCTTCCAGTCACAAATGAGTTCCTCCTTTCACTGTCCACTGCACACTTCCACCCACCATTCAATCACAAGTGAGCTCCTCCCCCTCACTGCCTTGATTGCCCCCTCCGTCTGTCACAGCTGAGCTCCTCCTCCTCACTGCCTTATGTGCCTTCCCCCTTCAGTCACAGATAGGTTTCTCCCCCTCATTGCCCTGAGTGCCATCCCCTTTTAAGCACAGATGAGCTCACTCCCCCTTACCATCCTGCAATCCTTCCACCCACCATTCAATTGCAGATAAGCACCTCCTTCTCAATGCTCTAAATGCCCTTCCCCCCAGGTTCCACAATCACATCCACCCACCCACCATTCAATCACATCTGAGCTCTTCCCCCCTCACTGCCATGAATGCCTTCCCCTTAAGTCACAGATGAGCTCCTCCCCCTCACTCCACTAAGCACCTTCCCTCTTCATTCACAGATGGGTTCCTACCCCTCTTTGCCCTAAGTGCCATCCCCTTTTAGTCCCAGATGAGCTCCACCCCCATAGCATCTTGCAACCCTTCCACCCACCATTCATTCGCAGATAAGCACCTCCTTCTCAATGCTCTAAATGCCCTTTCCCCCAGGTTCCAATCACGACCAAGCTCTTCCCCCTCACCAACTCCTACTCCAATCACCGCTCCACTGCTTTGCTTCACTAAGCCTTTATTCACAGTTTAGCAGTGGCATCACTAGGGGTGCAGCCCGCACTGGGTGACACCATTGGAGTCGGTGACAGCAAAATGACTAATAGTCATTTTGGTGTCACCCCCTTTGAAAAGATGGGCACTCGGTCATGGACCAAGAGCTCGACAGCTGCACCAGAGAGAAGGGGACCCGGCGGCATACTTTATCCCGCCGGGTGAACGTTCCCTCCTCTCTCTGCTGGCCTCCATCACCAAGATAGGTCATAGATCAGGGGTCAGCAACCTTAAACACTTAAAGAGCCATTTGGACCCGTTTCCCACAGAATAGAGAACACCGGGAGCCACAAAACCCTTTTGACATCTAAAATGAAGATAACACGGCATGTATCGTTTTTTACCTATATGCTTTGTATAGCATGTATATGTGGGCTTAGTAACGCTCTGGGCTTAGTAACGCTCTGGACTCTGGGCTTACCTGAGACCCCGCAGAGCCCACCTGAGAGTGACCCTGCAGAGCACAGCATAGATCCTGCATAGCCCATCTGAGACTCTCTATGGTGGGCTCTGCAGGGCCTCAGGTGGACTGGTCGCCGGGGTCCCTTTTCCTGTACCTCCTCCCAACTCCTCTTACCTGCTGCTGCTGTGGCCTAGCCTCCTCCACCCACTCCCCTGTCACCTCTGCCATGCTGCCCCTGGTGTATCTGATAGTCATGTAAGAGTCCCCTCAGGCTGCCCACCGGCCGTACACACACTTCTCCTCTCCCGCCACCTGTTACTAGGGACGCAGCCGGGAGAGGAGGTGAGTCACAGGACCCGCCCCCTTGCTGAGAAGCCCGTCAGAGCTTGCACTGCCGCATATTCCACTAGGGGGTGGCCCAGGACCGGACCTCACTGGGCCCCCCCACAGCCTCAGGCCCCGAGGCCCTGGTGGTAGTTCCGCCCCTGGACAGGGAGCCACAGCAGAGGGATGAAAGAGCCACATGCGGCTCCGGTGCCGCAGGTTGCTGACCCCTGTCATAGATAGATAAGCGTACAGGACTGTCACAGCCAGGCATCTAGAATTTCCATAGAAAGGTCAGCAATTACCGCCTACATATGACTGTTAGTAGAGGTTTGCTTTAAATCCCAATACAGAAATGTGAGGAGGGGTAAAAAGACCCAGAAAAGCCAAATGCTATAAAGACATGCGTCCTCCATTCCTTGTACAGAAGACAAAACTCAACTCTCTTCTCAACTTCTTGTTCTTAGAAAAATAACACAAATGTTATTTTACAGCAATCAGGACTTAAAGGCGTAACAATAAAACATAGAATGGATGAGTGGGTGGAATGACAAAGCCGGTGCACAGATAATTCTGGAATGATGATGAATGCAGATCAGTCAGATGAACTCACGCCGGCCCCGCGACATCTAAACGGAAGAAAATGTAATCAGGTTTATATACGATTTATTTCAGTCTGGACACACAATTCATGCCAGCGGGAAAAACATGTGTCACCTTCACATCTGGAAGCCCAAGGTCAATTCTGGGGGATCGGTCTCCGATATTTGATTTCCATTCGATTTCTTAGTGAAATTAGAATTAACACGTTAGATCAAGAAGCGGCTTTCCTCAATATACCAGCGTCATAAGCCTTTGGATACTTAAAGGGGACCTGAGCTCCACAAAGATTTGCTATGTTAACTGCCTAAGAAGTACCCTGAAAAATTTGCTTTTTATCTGGATATCTTCCTGAAATATGGCAATGCACTTCCCATTCCCAGGCACCTCTATATCAGTACACTTCCTGTACCTAGATACTTCTATTGGGGCACTTCCTGTGTCTAGGCACTCCTGTTCTGTAGCCTCATAGCTATATTATCTGCCGCATAAGATCTAAGGCACTGTTTCCTCAGACTGCTAGTCTCAGGAGATTTGGAGTGTGATTTGTTGATGCCACTTACTGTGCCTAGGCACTCCTGATATCTGTGCACTTCCTGTGCCTAAGCACTCCTGATATAAGTACACTTCATGTACCTAGATACTCCTATTGGGGCACTCCTGATATCAGTACACTTCCCATACCTAGATACTCCTGTTGGGGCACTTGCTGTGTATAGGCACCCCTGTTCTGTAGTCTCATAGCTGTATATCTGCAGCATAAGATCTAAGGCACTGTTTCCTCAGACTGCCAGTCTCAGGAGATTTGGAGTGTGATTTGTTGATGCCACTTACTGTGCCTAGGCACTCCTGATATCAGTACACTTCCTGTACCTAGATACTCCTATTGGGGCACTTCCTGTGCCTGGGCACTCCTGATATCAGTACACTTCCCGTGCCTAGATACTCCTACTGGGGCACTTCCTGTGTCTAGGCACTCCTGTTCTGTAGTCTCATAGCTGTATATCTGCAGCATAAGATCTAAGGCACTGTTTCCTCAGACTGCTAGTCTCAGGAGATTTGGAGTGCGATTTGTTGATGCCACTTACTGTGCCTAGGCACTCCTGATATCAGTACACTTTCTGTACCTAGATACTCCTATTGGGGCACTTCCTGTGCCTAGGCACTCCTGTTCTGTAGCCTCATAGCAATATTATCTGCAGCATAAGATCTAAGGCACTGTTCCTCAGACTGCCAGTCTCAGGAGATTTGGAGTGAGATTTGGTGATGCCACTACTGTGCTGCTTTTTAAATGATAAAAGGTGGCGTGTTTCTAAACAAACATTCATACAGACTTGTGAAATTAAGGTCCACTTTAATTTATCACCAGACTATCACAAGAATCCATTACCCTTAAGTACCACCAAAATAACAATAAAAGAATAATTACACTTCCCGCTCTCGAAGGACCGTGCACCAATGATCCACTTCCGACTCGGACTCCTCCACATTAATATTCAGCCTTGTATCGAGTTTGGTCAGAGTTGGATTTGTAGTGATAACTGAGCGGAGATCATCACAGGATGATAACGTTGCTTGACAATCATCAAATCTGGTGGGAGAAAAAGGAATCACCAACATGTTCCTAATTCAAAAGGGACTATTCACTAGCACAAGGAAGACATACAGTTCTGACCAGCTAACCTCCTGCTCTATATTATATATTTCTATATACTGCATCTCCTACGCGCTGATGGCATTTATGATTGGTGGGATAATAGTTAAAGTCTCACATAAACGTCTGCAGGTTACAGCCCGGATCTCTGATTCCATCACACAGCACTTTTACTCCAGAGTCTTCCAGATTGTTAAATGATAAATCCAGTTTTATGAGAGATCGGTTTGTGATGAGAACAGAGCGGAGGTCATCGCAGCATGAAGGAGACAGATCACAACCACAGAGGCTGCAGGGACAACAGACACACAAAAAAACATATGCATTACAAAGACATGCTATAACTAAACATCAGTCTCAGCTCCTGAAGGGTAAAAAAAAATTTACTCCAGAGTTATAACAATTATTAGGTGTGTGCTCACTAAATCTACACGTGGGAAACAAATATATTAGTACGATTTATAAACCAGTTCAAACCTCAGCTCTTGTAGAATAGTTGAGTCTCTGACTCCACCTTACATCCCAGGTGCATAAAACCCTTAAATCCTGCAGATTATATAATTTATAATTCTTCAACTTCTATAGTGTATATCGTGGGTCTCAGAGCCCCTTGCACAAAAGGTTTATTCCAGAGTCCTGCAGATTATTAAATAATTTATAGTATAATTCTCCCTTAACCTGCTACAGGGTACAGCCCGGATGTCTCAATCCCTCACACAAAAAGTTTATTCCAGAGTCCTGCAGATTATTAAATAATTAGTATAATTTTTCCTTAACCTGCTACAGGGTACAGCCCGGATGTCTCAATCCCTCACACAAAAAGTTTATTCCAGAGTCCTGCAGATTATGAAATAATTTATAGTATAATTCTCCCTTAACCTGCTACAAGGTAAAGCTCGGATGTCTCAATCCCTCACAGAAAAAGGTTTATTCCAGAGTCCTACATAGTATTATATTGTTTATAGTATAATTCTCACCTCACCTCCTGCACGGTACAGCCTGAATGTCTGAATCACTCACACAAAAATGTATCTCAGAGTCCTGCAGATTATTATATCATTTTAGCATGGATCTCACCTTAGCTCTTGCAGGATGCATCCCGGATCTCTGAGTCCTTCACAGAGAATTTTTACACCAGTGGCCTCTAGGATGTTGTATGTTAGATCAAGGCTGGTGAGCAGCTTGTTTGTACTCATAATTGAGCAGATGCAATCGCAAGACGAGCTGGTCAGATCGCAGCTGTACAACCTATAGAGAAAGCAGCAAAGTAACATTAAACTTGAGGCTGAACACCAATATAGGTGTGTAATTAAAGAGAACCTCAAAGCCCCAAAGCTCATCATAGAAAGGACTAATTAATTTAGGTTCAGACCTCTGCGTGCCTTATGTCTTGCTTTAACATTCATCATGGTTAGGAGGCCTACTATTTCGAATAGGCTGCTTACAAACCACAGTAGACCTTTTATTGGACCTGCACCTTTTTTCTTTCCAATGCACCACAGTGCGGTGATGGTTCATATCTGTGCATTGTGGTCCACTAAAATGCAGATCTGTAAGCAAGGCCAGATTTCCAACAAGGCCAACCAAGGCCCGGCCTCGGGGCAGCAGGGAGTAGAGGGGCAGCAGGGATGTGGGATTCCTATCTCCAGATGCCCGGGACATGCAGTTCCAGGCTTTGGGCAAGCAGAGCTAAATGTACAGAGGGGAAACCGCCGCTTGTTTTGTACAAGTGAGCTCGGCGATGTCTGATGTTTGGTGGGTAGGGGGGCGTATTGCTAAACCTGGCCTTGGGGGAGCAGGGGGAGTAAATCCAGCCCCGTCTGTAAGAGTGCATTGGGTGTTGTTTAAAAATAATGGCATCCTTCCGTGGTTCACATGCTAAGGGAGAACACCTTGCATCACCCCAACGCAAAAGCGTGAAATCTGGCCCGTGAAATGATTTAAGGATATAAGAAGAAAATAGGGGAAGGGCCAGATTTGGAAGATGATGGGAATTGTTTTTTCTTCATTAAGAAAGAAAGATGGTCGGGGCAAAACACACCGAGGAAGATAAAAAAAACTCCAAAAACTGTTCACATTCCTATCTCTCTACAAAACCTGGAGCTTTCTCTTACGATAACTCTTGCATTTCACTCCGCGGGTTAATCAACCAGGAAAGATTCGGCGACTCTCCGTCATCTGAAATGGTGACCTCGCCTTCTGCCTGAGAGTTCACACATTCTAAACCGTGAAGCATTTTGTCAACCGTCAGAAGGTCTTCACCGTCCCAATATTGTGAATAATTTCTCTGGGGAAAACAACACAGCTTGAAACTAAAAGAAAACAAATAATTGGTGATTACTACAGAGAAGGCAATACACAATCACACATTCAAATAAAGTTTAAAGAGACTAATCTGCCTATTCCGTGCCTCTGGGCTTCTTTGCCTCCTCCACTCAGATCCCCAGCTCTGCGGCTTCAGGGTATGGGGAAGAATGTCACCTTCCCCGATTGACCAATCACCAATCCTGTATGCTGTCATATTGGAGGGGGAGAGGGACATCCACCCAGGCAAGCTTCAACACCATTGGACATTGAAGCCTATGCAGGGACTCCTGCAATGTGGAGGCGGTAAGGGAGCATGGATGGAGAAATATACTTTGCTGGACAGGTGGGCTATCAGGAGCATCTCTTTAACTTTAAACATTTAATTACAACTTTATTACCTTGCAAAACAGATGGAAGAAAACTTGATTTTTTGATACCTGGTAATATTAAAACTACTAAAAGGTTGTGTGGCAGTGCGTGGCAATGCCATGGTGTCATTTGGCAAAATAGTGACCCAGGACTCTTAGCCGAGGTGGGGCTGCTCAGTTCCAGAAAGCACAAACGTTTATTGGGAAAGAGCTGGCTTTGCAGTTCTTCCCAGGTTTTCCGGATTTGGCTTGGACTTGGGAGATTTCAAAACGCATTTCAAAACGCATTTGGAGCGATGGAATCTCCATTGCCGGGTCCGGACTTTAGGCCCCATTCACACCTGACCGTTTTGTAGCGCGTCCTACGCTCGATGAACGCTCTACAAAACGGTCAAAAAAATAAATAGCACTGTAGTCAATGGCCTCGTTCCCACCTGTCCGTATTTCCGCCCGTCCCGAACGCACTACAAAACGGCCCACGCATGAAAAGGTCCCGAAGCGTTTTTTGCTGCGTATTGGTCCGTTTTGTAGGGCGTTTTCCATTAGTATACTGCCAAGTAGCCTTTGGAATCGCGCGACGGTCGCGCGCCTTTTTTACCGCGAATCGCGGTAAAAAAACCGCGTGACGGTCGCGCAACAGACGCGCATATTACAATACGCATAGGTGTGAATGGGGCCTTAGTGGTGACCAGCACCGAGTGGTTGTTCACCTGTGCAAAGCCCTTATGAAGAGGATGCTGGTTAATGTTCAGTGTTCCACCTGGGAGGCAGAGGAGGTCTCTATGCAGGGACCTGGAGGGCTCCACCCTGGAACCAGCCTGTGTGGTGTACAATACACCGGTGTGGTGAGGACCAGCCTGTGTGACTGTGAGAGAAATGGTTGTGACTAGTGTGAGAAAACAGACAAAGCTAGAGGACCAGAGGGTCAAAACGGCCAGATACTGAAGGTAAAAGGCAAGAAGCCTAAATTGTGTTTTTGTTGCCAGTACTGTGTGTACTGTGTGTGTTGGAAAACCCCTGCGATGGCAAACCTGTGTGGACTTTTGAGTCTTGAATCAATAAAAGTGGGCTGTGGCAGTGCGTGGCAATGCCATGGAGTAAGCTGGCGAAACAGACACCCAGGACTCTCAGCCAAAGGGGCTGAGAGGCTCCAGAAGGTAATTAGTTTTGCAGGGAAGAAGCTGGACCTTTCAGTTTCTTCTGGTTTTTCCGGATCGTAGCCGGGATCTGGATCTCTGGAGATTTCTTAGAGTTCAGGGTGGGATGAAATCTCCAGTCCTGGGGTCAGGTGTTGCCAGTGATCAGGTGGCTGAGAGCAGCCTCATTAAGAGCTCAGACCAGAGCTCAATGGAGGAGTTGGTGTGGTGTGGGCTGCAGGCAAATGAGGGCTCCGGCTGGGAAGAGGGACAGGTTGTGTCCAGGAGTCGGGCGGACTCCACCCAAAAGCCAGAATGGAGCCAGGAGGCTGTGTGTGCGTGCTGAAGGCACCTGGGAATCAGCCAAGGAGGCTTAGTGAGCCTGGGACACACAGGGGATGTGTGGAAGAGTCACATGCTGGATAGGTGACTATCCTGAGTTGGTGAGACATTGTGCTATTACTTACTGGCTGAAACATAAGCAGACGGTATATTGTGTTGCTGAAGCACAGCTCTGTTCTGTTATGGTGGAAAACAAAAGACTGTCCTTTTTATGTTACAACGGCTTCATGACTGGTCCTTAAGCGCTCGCCATTGGTGCTAACTTCCCCAGATCTCACAGGGCAAAGAAGAAAACGTAAGCGAGTGGAAGTGTCCTTCATGCACTACCGGTTGGGGCTAATTCTCACAGTTGATATGTTCTAAAATTATTCTTTAAAGTTGAGTTGAAGGGCTGTCTTACACTATAACCAGTGCGTTTCGGCATGGTTAGTGCCCGGAACGTACTGGGTCGCATAGAGCAAGCCTCGCGTGTTTTGGGACGGGGGGGGGGGGGGGGGCATTCCCGCCTGCAGTGCGATCGTCCGCACCAAAACGCATGGTACAGCAATGCCCGTGCTGGAATGCACTTGTTATAGTGTGAACCGCCCCTAAGGCAAGTCTACCCTAAACCTGGCTGGTCAGGTCAAAGATTTCACATATAATTAATTTTTTTGTTTGCATGTCAATCATTAGGGTATCCCCCTTACCAGAGTATTTGGCAGTTGTGTAGGAATGGTGTTAATATTTCCAGGTCTTTGGGTTCCATAGTTAGCAAAAAAAAGGTGAGAGACTGAAAAGTTTGACAAATCTTCAAGCAGTAGCACAACTGTTTGAAACAATTTTCTCCCCCTGCCGAGTCTTCCATCCCTACGCTTTCTATTTCCAAACATGCAGAACGAGACATGGTTCTCCTTATGAAGTCCTCGTTCTGTGTCTCGTACAGACAGAAAATGCCCTCGGTGGAGAAAGCCAAAGGATCGTCTCCTGTAATCCATTTTTCGACTGCAGACTTTGCTCGGAGTGAAACACGGATGCCCGTGCTTTTCGAGAATTCCTCGGTCCCCTTTTCATTGAAGAGCCCGAACAGAAACCGCACAGCCAACAGTAAATGAGGAGATTCTCCACACATTGCTGAAAGTGAGTCCTCTTGACAGATCTCTGGAAGGATAGTGTCTTCCTCATTTCCACAACCATTATCTAGCGCGTAATACAGAGCGGCAAAGAACTCTTGGACACTCAGGTGGATGAAGCCGTAGTAGGTCTTGGTTTCGATGTCCAGGTGAAAAACATTCTCGTTCAGAAATACAGACTCGATCTCCAACAAAGAAAGCCCGTGTCTTTCTAGTTCCTCTTCCTCAAACAAGATTTGTTGGTTTAAGACTCCCTCATTTGCCAGAGCACACAGTTTCTTCAAGCAGGTTTGTGCTGGCTGGTTCCTACCATGGTACTTTATTAGACCCTTCAGGTAGAGGAGATAGACAGAGGTGGCTGTTTTATACTGCAGTAAGTCCACGTCCTGTTTTATTTGCGGTTTCAATACAGTGCACACGATCCAGCATACGATGGGGACAGCGCACATGGTGTACAGGACATCATTGTCTTTTATAATGCTAAGAGCCTTGTCTGCATCACCTTCATTTTTAAAGAAGCCGTGGAAATATTCCACGCGTTCTTCCCCTGTAAAGCCCAGGACTTCCACATAGCGAGAATCATCAACAAATGTGTTGAGCTTCTCCAGGGCCAGTGACCTCGTGGTGATGATCAGAGAAGATTGTTTCAGAAGCTGTTTCCTCAGCAGTCTTTGGAGAAGTATTTCCTTATCAGTTTCCTCAGAAATGTCATGACAAACCTCAGATTCCTCCTCCAGAGTCCACCTCAATTCATCGAAACCATCAACTATAAAGAGAAGTTTTTTATGACTTCCAGGATCCTTCAGAATAGACACCAGGTCATCGGAATTCTCCAGTTTGCATGTTCTGGATAAAAGTCCAACAAGGTTTAGGTTTTTAGAGATGGTGTTGAGTTCTCTACAGCTCAGATGAAACACAAAGTCAAACTTGTCTGTGTAGAGGTTCCCAGAGGCCCAGTCCAGCATGATCATCCTGGAGGTCATAGTTTTCCCAATCCCAGCAGGTCCTTGTAGCACCACAACCTTTGGGACGAAATCCTCTTGATCAGGATCAAACAGGGTCTGGATTGTGGTTGGGGAATATTCATCGCAAGATCTTTTCTCCATGATCCGCTGGTGTGTTCTGCCTGAATAACTCATCTCATCCACCTTGTCTTCTATATTTCGAGGTTCCTTTATCAGTAGTAACTTGGTGTATCTTTTCTGTAGGTTAACAGCCTCTCCTCTACGGGAGTTATATTCTTTAATCCGTTGGAAATCCTCCTTCATGGACTCCATGTATTCTTTTTTCCACTCTGCATTAGAGATAGCAAACGCATTTTATTTCTCAGATGCATAGGAAATAGTTTGGGAAATCAGAGTTGGGAATGTTGTATTTTTAACCAAAAGCATTATGTTTCAAGATTGAAAAAAGCAAATCAATAACGTGTAGGAAACCGGATACAAGATAATTTTTACTAACCTAATAATCTATTGTTGAGTGTCGTCTGCTTCTTTTTGGCTGCAAAAACAATATTTATGACATTAGTATTTAGGACGTTGACCGTGTAACATGTGCCCCCTGGGGTCCTATGTTAGGCAACTACTTGGTTCTGGTAGGACCCTGGAACTAATGGAATGTAGAATAGAGAAGGAAAGTTCTCATTCGTTTTTAGTAGGGATGCACCGATATATCGTCCGTTGGCACATATCGTCCGTAAATGGCACTTTTGGCTAAGTGCCACTTTCCTGCCAATACATCGGCGCATCCCTGCTGGGCGCTGTTCTGTGTCCCAGCGGGGAAGAGAGAAAGTGTGACAGCGGACCGAACACTGCGGGAAGAGAGCGCTGTGAGCGGTCGGCGTCTCTCCTCCCACACCGCTCAGCCTCCTATCACAGTCCGGCAGAGCGGTGTGGGGGCGGAGACAGCCCGCTCTGTCACAGGAGGCTGAGCTCTCCTCCCCGCACCGCTCGCTCAGCCTCCTGTGACACTTGTCAGAGAGGAGAGCAGATACAAGCGGTCAGTGATCGCTGAGTGTTTGTACATAATTGAGGACAGATTATGGTTACTATATCCTCAATTATGAATGAATGGGAAGTGATCTACATCACATCTACATCACTTCCTGTTCATTCATGATTGTGTTTATAGTAAACATACTCTGTCCTCATGTTATGAATGAACAGGAACACTCAGTATAGAGGATTCCTGTTTATTGATAACAGTGTCTGCAGAAAAAGAGAGAGAGGACTCTGTGTCCTCAATCTCTTTTTCTATTTTAAAAGGGAAATATCAGGGTTCTGTTTAGACCCCTAATATTTCCCCAAAGCTCCTAAAAGTTTAAAAATATTTAATAAAAAAATGAATTAATAAATAAAAATAAATAAATATTAAAAAGTTTATTAAAAAATAAAATATTTAAAAAATGTGAAAAAAAAATAAAAATAAAAAACATTTTCTGTTTTTGGACTGACAATTTTTTTATTTCGGTTTCGTTTTGGTTTTGAAATTTCCATTTCGGTGCACCTCTAGTTTTTAGTTCTAAGGAAGTTCGCATTCATTTTCTTAATAGAGTAATAACCAGGAACTAGTCGTGTTCATTATAAAAGGGAAACTCACCATTTTGCGCTCTCCTTTCCCGGAGGTGTTTTGCAGGTCCCAGCAGATCCATGAGGGTGAAGACTTCAGTCATGACATCCAAGGCTCCCTCCTCTCCATATGTTTCTGTCAGGAGATTCTTGGTGGAGATCCAGTCCGCATGTTCTAGTTGTCCTCGGGGAATGGGAACTTTATCTCCGTAGGAGAAATCAGACAATTTGTCCTTAAATCTCTTGAAATCATATCCTTTGAGATCCTCTAGAGAATATAGGATAAGATCCCCAGGTGTCTGTGGTCTCTTTCCCAGGATACCAGTGACTGACCCTGCAGAGAAGACACCCCACATCCATAAGGTACATTTAAAATGTGCTAGCAGACAAATGTTTGGCACACACATACTGATGTGCAAGTTGGTGGTAGTTGGTCACTTTCAACTGGGCTTGTTCTGTGCTATTGAAGACAGTTTGCTTTTTAGCCAAACAGCTTCTTCACCTCTGAAAGTGTCAGGAACATACCCCAGCCTATACAGCCACACAGGTAACTCTGTCACCCTTTTCCAGTGTCCATGGAACTATGGTAAGGCAGATGCTGATTATAGAAGAACATGGCAGACGTGAAAGTTTATGGATCTATATCAGCATGAGGAAGAGTGGGAAGCACTGGCATTATCGTCACTGTGAGTGAACAAAAAATGTCCTGGCATCAGGGTCGGAAAAAAGTGCCCCAGCAGGAGTGGTCAGAAAAGGTTCCTTGGCATCAGTGGCTGAAAAACTGCCCTGGCGCATATGGAGGGAAAAATGTGCCATAATGTGCCTGATGAAGGGACCTTAAGTGGCCCTGAAATGTTTCCTTTTTTGGACAAGATGTACACGTCAGCAAAGAGGCATTTGGACGTTTGACCTCGGCGTGCTGGTGACTATTTTTCTAGTGGTGGGGAAAAAGCTCACTGGTGTCAGTGGTTGGAAAGACTGTCCGGGGAGGAAGCATTGCATATACTATATATAGTGGCAGTGCATGGCAATGCCACGGAGTATGCTGGCAAAACAATCACCCAGAACTCTCAGCCCCAAAAATGTAATTGTTTTGCAGGGACCAGCCTTTCAGTTTCTTCCGGTTCTTCCGGATTGTAGCCGGGATCTGGATCTCTGGGAGATTTTTTAGAGTTCTGGGTGGGATGAAATCTCCAGTCCTGAGGTCAGGTGTTGCCGGTGATCAGGTGGCTGAGAGCAGCCTCATTAAGAGCCCAGACCAGAGCTCAATGGAGGAGTTGGTGTGGGCCAAGCCAGGTGTGGTGTGTGTTGGAGGCACACAAGGAACAGCCTGGGAGGATGGAAGATTCGGAGAGCCTGAGAGAGCCAGGCATACAAGAGGAGTGTGTTGAAATCAGAAGCTGATGAAAGCTGTTACATGGTACAGAGTATATCTGAAGAGTTTGTGTTGAGGAAAACAGTAAAGTCCTGGGACTGGGACAGGGGCTGACTGGCAACTTTTAGCCCAGGGGGCAAGTATAACCCAGAGGCCCATGGTGCGGCAACTTGGTCCCCCTCCCGCTCTGCCTCTTCCCCCCGCCTTCTCCCTGCCAGCCACTTTTGCCATCCATGTAACAGTAGTGTGAATGTATTTATTGGTTTAGGAAATGTAAAGCACACTGGTAGTGGAGGGAGGCCACGTCAGGGCTGTGCGCGTGAATGACTGCTGCGACCCCGGTACTTCTGCCACTAACTCAGAAATACATTGTACAGCATTGCAGAATGGCATTGGCTATAGAGAACTACAATTCCCAGCAATACATTACACAACAATGCAGAATACCATCAGCTATAGCGGACTATAAATCCCAGAAATAATTAGTAGTGTTGTATTCCTCTATAGCTGGTGGTAGTCTGCATTTTGCTGTATGGGGGACTACAAATCCCAGCAATAATACATTATACAGCACAATGCAGAATACCACCATCTATAGAGGACTGCAAGTCCCAGCAATAGTACGCTATAGCTGATGGAATTCCGCATTGCGCTGTATAATGTATTATTGCTGGGGTTTGTGCCCAGGGGGCAATTGCCACCCTGCCCCCCGGCCCAGTCCGCCCCTGGACTGGGACACTGTGACTGAATGGGTCAACCTGAGAATGGTGAGATGATATGTTTGCTGAAATACAAGCATGCTGTGCTGTACTGCTGAAGAAAGCTTTCTTCTGTTACAAAATAAATAAAAGACTGGTTCTTTCACCATATGTGCTAAATTCCCCAAATATCACAAAATATTGTGCGTGGCAATGCCATGGTGTCATTTGGCAATATAGTCACCCAGGACTCCCAGCCAGGGGGGGCTGAGCAGTTTCAGAAAGCACAATCGCTTACTGGGAAAGAGCTGGCTTTGCAGTTCTTCCCAGGTTTTCCGGATTTGGCTTGGATCCTGGAACTGGGAGATTTCAGAGAGCATTGGGAGGGATGGAATCTCCAATCCTGGGTCCGGACTTGAGTGGTGACCAGCACCGAGTGGTTGTTCACCTGTGCACAGCCCTTATGAAGAGAATGTTGGCTAATGTTCAGGGTTCCACCTGGGAGACAGAGGAGATCTCTGTGCAGGGGACTGGAGGGCTCCACCCCGGAACCAGTCTGTGCGGCAACACACCTTTGTGGTGAGGACCAGCCTGTGTGACTGTGTGAGAGAAACAGTTGGGACTAGTCTTGGAAGCAAAGAGGACCAGTGGGTCAAGGAGGCAAAACACTGAAGGTAAAAGCCAAGAAGCTTTATCTGTGTTTTCGTTGCCAGTATTGTGGGCCGGGCCGGATTTACTCTCTCTGCTGCCCCCAAGGCCAGGTTCCTCAATGCGCCCACCTACCTGCCAACCCCCCCATGGAGGATGGCAGACCTGCAGGCTGCATACAATGTCAGCAAGATCACTTGTACAAAACAAGCAGCTGGTTTTCACGTTGTACATTTAACTCTGCTTGCCCAAAGCAGGGCTAAATGTAGAAAACATCTACCTGTCCGGGAATCGGGAGATAGGAATTACACACCCATGCTGCCCCTCTACTCCCTGCTGCCCCGAGGCTGGGTCTTGTGGGAAATCCGGCCCTGACTGTGGGTACTTTATGCCAGTGCAGCCCGTGCAGGGTACATCAATAGAGTCTACCCAAGACTTCTCTAGGGGCCCTGTGTCATGTGACACTGACCAGAAACAGGAAGTAAGGATCGATTTTCCCTCTCTCCACTCCAGCTGTGTCTGGAGACAGGAAGTGAATGAAGATCTCCCCAACGTAGGCACAGACATAAAAAAAAAGCCAAACCGACTGGCGTTGTAACACTTCCATACTCCATCCAAAGGTTAAAAATATTTTTGGGCCTTCGATATACTTCAAAAACAACGTCATAGTCAATTTCTATGGTCATGGCATTAACTAACATTTACCAAACCCGGGAGCAGATTTCTAATACATTACAGTCACTGAAGATGTAAGAAAAGTCCCACCTTGGGAGGAGGAAGAGGCCGCCATGGGACGCCCGTAGCTTACATCACCTAGAAGGAACCAAAACATGGAACAGGTTGGTCGCTGATCACATTCTGCACAATGAAGAGAATAATAAGGCTAATAAATGCCAATGTCATGGCTGGTGGGAGGAGGGGTGTTGTGTCTCTTCGGGGTGCCATATGCAGTAACCAGAACAGATCTGAACGGAGTTGACTTTTGTACCCCCATAGGAGCCGCTGGTTGCCCGGTTCACTTCTTCAACTGCCCACCCGATAGCACTAACCGCCCTTCTTCTGGTGCCCATAGACTGATGTCCACTCCAGGAGTAAAATGCTAAGTAAATGATTTATAGAACATCTTCACTGGGGAGAGAGGGTATGGGGGGTTCTAGGTGTCCAGGGGTAACCAACAGGAGCTCCAGACTTTGTAGATGTATCAGTGTAGGTCCACCTGGGAGACAGCGGACAGCCACTGATGTAACAGACAGGCAGGATGGATGCAGATCCTCAATCAGGAAAGACACCGTCCATGCTCCTGAAGTCCACTTAGTTCCAGGGTACTTCAAGAGCCTGCACTGGTCCTGGTTCTCTTCCTCTTTCAGCGCCACAGGCCTTCTCCATGTTGGAGCCCTCAGGGAAACCTTTTTCCTCACACCAGCCCATGCCCACCCACAGGCCTCGGCCTAGCCTGGGAGCAGGCTGAACAGGACCAAGCCCTTTTGCATGGCTGGTCTTGGACTAGTCTGAGCACATGGCAGATCCCACCTTTTTTTGTACCCTATCCCAGCAGGCACCACTGGCTGAGAAAAGCCCAGTGATTGGCTGATGTACTGTACATACACTACAGTATCTTTCATTGGCTGTCCCACAATATGACAGAGTCACACTCCGCCCAGGGGGGTACAGGCAATACTAGACACCTGGAATTAACCAGATAACTGCCACTATAATTCCAGCCAGGCTGACTACAGCCCCGGCCATCACAAAATATCTAGTAGCCACATCACAGACGGTGATGGGGGTCTACACTTTCATCATTTACAAGGCAGGACTAGGAAGTTGTATGCCTGTTGACCCTATTGGAAACTTTTGGGGAATTTTTCCATTAGGCCTCCTACACATGAACTTCTGCTTATATAAGAGCTTTCATTTCACCGCGCCACTCTGTGGGGAGTGTCGCAATGTTATTCATTCCAAATGGCACCCTAATGGACAAATGCAGTAGGGGCAGATGGACCCCACCAGCCATGAAAAAGTGTTTGGGTGACACCAAAGCCACCCAGATCACTGTTAATAAATAACACAATATGCTGCAGTTATGACCTTGTTCTGACCTGTTAAGGGTGTATGGGATAGCCTCAAGGTCTATAACTGGTTAAAGGGACAGTCAGCACTCTTATTATGATCTATGATTAACATTCTCAAACTTGAGTTGAAGGGCACTTTGGGAAGCTCTCGGAAAGCCGGAGCCAGGTGAACAATGACTAAAATGGGGCAATTTGTTGGGGTTTTTGTCTTACTCTGGATTTTGGTCAAACCATGACAGTTAGAATCTTTCCATTTGATGGACCTATGTCTTTTTTTTATATACCTACGAAGACTAATCAATTTCTAATTAAAAATAAAACATATTGTTAGAAAAGTGTAAGAACACAAAAATATCCGTCCGCCAACCTGTACAGAGCAGGAAAGAGTCCTCATCTTCAGTAAGGAAGGATACATAGTCCAGGAGAACACCAGGCCCCCCTCTCCCTATGGCAAAAACATTCCCCTTGGTGGAACATTGAGCTGTATAGAATGACCCATCTGTGTAAGAACACAGAAATATCCGTCCCCAAACCGTACAGAGCAGGAAAGAGTCCTCATCTTCAGTAAGGAAGTCTATAAAGTCCTGGACTACACAAGGCCCCCCTCCCCATGATGGCTAAAACATCCCCCTTGGTGGAACATTGAGCTGTACAGAATGGCCCATCTATGTAAGAACACAGAAATATCCGTCCCCAAACCGTACAGAGCAGGAAAGAGTCCTCATCTTCAGTAAGGAAGTCTATAAAGTCCTGGACTACACAAGGCCCCCCTCCCCATGATGGCTAAAACATCCCCCTTGGTGGAACATTGAGCTGTATAGTGTCACCCATCACACAACCTATAGCAGACACACTGACTATACTCACCATTAATACAAAGTTGACTTTCTCTTCACACAGTCTCAGCGAGTTACTTCCACCAGGAAACGTTACTTCCAAGTTCCCGCTTATCACATGACCTTTGAAAGAGCGCTCACAACAAGAACATTCTCACTTCATGCATCTTTCCGTACAAAGCCATATACATTGTGCACCCTCTAGTGTTCAACACCCATAATATAGAGAACTGGCTGACTACGAGTTTGACGTAATAGCCCGACATTGATCGGATCTGGAATTTCGAAACACCAGGCACAAACCCAACTTCCTTACCCATCTACCTGTATGGATGTGTGATTATGAGACCTGCCCAATTCTAATGCCTGCTGACCAATATTATGACCACAGATGTGTTACAATAGTCTGACCCTCATATTATCATGGTCTTCTAGAGAGGACTCCCCCCAATCATCTGACCCTCACTGTATTCTCGTCTTCTAGAGAGGGCTTCCCCAATAGTGTGACCCTCACTGTATCCTCGTCTTTGAAAGAGGGCACAGCCAGTGTGTAGGGATGGTAGGAATCCCTCATAATAGGCATAGCAGGTGTACAGACCCGGGAACTCAGCACAGGGATGGTGGGAGCCCCTCATAATGGGCACAGCAGGTGTACAGATCCGGGAACTCAGCACAGGGATGGTGGGAGCCCCTCATAATGGGCACAGCAGGTGTACAGATCCGGGAACTCAGCACAGGGATGGTGGGAACCCCTCATAATGGGCACAGCAGGTGTGCTATGCTCCCATTCCTTTGCTCCTCCTCTCCATCTAGTGGCGATAATGTAGAATTACAACACACTTCATTTGAATTAGGAGAAAATATATTTTAATATATGTAATATGTTTACAGTTTTGTCATTTTTCAGTCCCCCTTGGGTGATCTCTGTCCATTGCAAAGAAATTTACCAAACCCTGACGCAGACTCTGAGTAGGGTTGCCACCTGTCCGGGATTCACCCAGACAGTCCGGTTTCTGAGTCTTGCGTCCGGGTGGCAGGCCAGTTGCCACCCGGACACGAGACACTAAGTGTCGATACCAGCAGTTTAATTTTTTTAACAGATGAGGCTGCTGAGGCTGTGAAGGAAATCCCTGGTGGTCAGCGGGGTCATGAAAACTAGTGCTCCCATTCAATGGTGTCCCGTGGTCTTTAGAACGGGTGACACCCCGCCGTGCCGCCATTGCGCGTGGCGTCACCTCGCACATGCGCGACCATCTGATTGATGCCTGATAGTGGCCATCTTGGTGATGGACGCCGGCAGGGAGAGGAGGGGACGTTCCCCTGGCGGAATGAGGTATGCTGCTGGGTTCCCTCCTCTCTCCTGACACTGTCGGGCTCTCGGTCCATGACCAAGTGCCCGACTTGGTAGAGGGGGGTGACACCAAAATGACTGTCAGTCATTTTGGTGTCACCCTTGCAA